ACTCTTGTTGGCAAGTTTGTCGATGACTTTCTTGCGCATTTCATTAAGTTGATTGGTCGATACTCCCATTTCATGAAGCAGACCGATAGATTCTCCCGTGTCTTCAGATATAGTTTCTTCTGAAAATAATTTGATAGTTAAATCAACATCGACAAAGGTGACAACAAATTTTTTAAATATAGGCCTATAAAGACATGTTTCGACGTGTCACACATCACCATCAGGTGATAATGCTTAAGCTACTACCGGTTTATATACTACTGGTCAGATGTAAGACAAACACGAAAATATTAAGGCAAGTCATTAGAGGCCATGAATACTATGGTAAGTCATGTATATAAGAATTAGAATGAAAGAGTGATATTGTAATGAATTGTTTATTTTTTAATGTAATTTATTGTGGTGATGATGGAAGTTGTATTCATTGTTAAGATGATGATTATGATAATAATAATAAATGATGATAATGATGGTGATAGTGATGATGATGATGATGAGGGTGGTGACAACTTTAATTATTTAATTATGATGCTGATAATAATGATGGTTAAAATGTTGAGGATGATATTAATGACAAAGACGATGATGATAATAATGATAAAGATTATGATGATGATGATAATACTCATAATTCTAATATTATAATCGTTGACATTTTACACATATTCCAGGAAACAGGAATGCTTTATTTATTTCACAATTCAAAATCAAATAAGCGGTCTAGATTTAACGCAACCAGTAGCGTAATGCCCATGCGTTCTCGTGTGGCGGTCCGCAGGGCCCCGACCCCCTGTGGCCCCACTCATATGGTCCTCGATCTATAACTTTGACCAAAAAAGGTTTTATGAATACATAATTAATAGCATAATGTATCTCTGACATCGACTGTAGGACATAGGCTTATATCATATGCCTATATAGGCCTATTGTGGAGGATTAAAGGGCGTCCTGTCGGCCCGGAGCCCCAACTAAATTTGTCATTTTTTTAATGGAGATGAAAATCAAATGATATTACAATTTTAAATCTGTGGCATCTCCCGCCATCCAGAGGTGCCACAATCATAAACGTTATTAGATCAGCCCCAACCAGGGCTGATGTGGTTTACGCTCAATCTCTCAAAGTTATCCCTGGTCATCTCTATTTAAAATTCCTGGATCCACCACTGATATTATATCATTTTATTCGTCGTTAAAAAAAAAGAATAACAAAGTAAAACATGAATAAAAAACGAGAAAATCAAAAATTTCACGATGAAATTACAGAATGACACCTAAAAAGGACCCAGCGGTGGCTCCAGAAATTTGCCTACAAGGGGTCTGACATGTCGGACGTGGAAACCGTCGGACGTGGGAACCGAAACAAAGGGGCCGACTATAAGGCCTCGGTCCTAGTCCAAGTTTGGTAGTGTTCACGGGAGAATTTTCAGAGCTTAGCATGGTCCAAATTGTGCTTTTAGACTACAACGATTGGCAATCAAAATAACGTTATTTGCATACCTTAGGCAAATTAAATATTTGTAAATCTTTCATCCAACGACGTCGGACGAAAAGGGGACAGGCCGATGGGGGAAATTTCCTTCCCCCTCCCCCGTGGCGCCACCACTGTGGTGCCCAGTCTCAGAAAGCCACGGGGCCCCGACGGCATCGTCACGCCACTGAACGCAACAACAACAATAAATAGAAATAGATCATATGAATTCACAACTTATACAAAAAACAAACCCAAGTCGAGCAAAACTAGATTAACATTAATAAATATCTACCTTTAAACCGTCTGATAAACACAGGGGATAAAGATGACTTTTTTCTGGGATCAATTTCTGATACAGATGCAGCTGATGTTCCTTCGAGAGGAGATGCGGACGTAGATGGAAATGCTATCCTTCCACGATCAGATGAGGACGTAGAAGCAGTGAAATCGAACGTCTTTGCTACATTCGTAGCGATAGCGTGTTCGCGTATCTGTTTAGTTCGTTCAATCTCTGTAGAATGGCACAGCAATGAGAAGTTATCAAAAAAATATATATCAAATTGAATTATCAAAAGAGGTCTAAGTATTTATTGTAAATATTTTAAAATGTTCTGAAGGTTGTTAAACGACATTACCGGTGTACATCAAGTTTCTTATTTATAGAATCATACCGTCTGCATCTTTCTGCTCCTCCCATATGCTGTAATCCTCACCGACAGTTTGAAAGACAGTTTTAGTTGTAACAATACCATCGGTTGAGGGCTCTTCCTTATTAAATCTATTATTGAAATTTGCAATGTTATAATAAATATAAAGATAATTGAGTCAATTACAGGATCTATAATTGAATACAGGAAAGTTAATATTTACTTTTTAATATCGGGGAATATTTTTTCTCATTCGAACTTAGTTTAAAGTTACTAAAAATTAATTACAAATTCACATGTGAAGAATATAGATATGGAATTAAAGGTTTAATTTAATTATAGCTCATAACAGGCAATGCGTCGTTCGTAGACATACACTTATGATGTCATCATCGGTGTCAAGCATATATATTTATACAGTAGGGCCTAAGACATGTCACACATCAGCTGTCATATAGAAATTGAAACATATTACTGAGAACAGTACTATCATGGACCTGGATAAGAGGGTACAGTACTACTAATTGGTATACGGACTATCTGTGTGCAAATCTTCAAGTGAGAAATGATGTTTGCCCTGGCAAAATATTTCGAAACGATCAGCATAAAAATTGGTAATGTGCTCAAAAACAAATTTAGGATTAAAAGAAAAAAATATGCGGAACTCTCATTTATAAAGATAACCATAGTCAATCGGGAAAAATAATGTTTGACCATCAGGCAGGCTGTAAAATTTAAAGGCGTTGTAAAAATAGCGGAACGTACTGGAGGGCATTTATGTGATGGATTGATGATTTTTGCCCAGTATTCCACTATGAGCATTGTATTTACGAATTAAAATAACAGCAACCAATAATAATATAATTATAATCAAAAACTCAAAAACAATCTTTTGTGGGAAGACTAGACACTTTGAAATTTTATGTCTTTTGAAAAATTAAGTGACTACAGTGTTTTAGTA